ATAAAAAGCAATCTATTGAATGGGAGAAGATATTTGCAAATGACATACTTATAAATGGCTAGTATCCTAAATATATAAAGAATACATATATACCACTCAACACCCAAAAACCAAATAGCCCAGTTGAAAATTGAGCAAGAGACATGAACAAACATTTCTCCAAAGAAGACAGATATAGTCAACACACACATGAAAAGATACTCCGTTAGCAGCCAGGTGGAAGTGGGAGGGAAGAAAAAAAGGGAGAAAAAAAAAGATGCTCAGTATCAGTCATCATCAGGGAAATGCAAATCAGTGCAAATCAAAACTACAATGCAATATCATTTCACACACATCAGAATGGCCAAGTCAAACATCAAAAACACAAGAAACAACAGTTTCCTGTTGGCGAGGATGTGGAGAAAAAGGACCCCTCTTGCACTGTTGGTGGGAATGCAAACTAGTGAAGCCACTGTGGAAAACAATATGGAGGTTCCTGAAAAAATTAAAAATAGAACTACCCTATGATCTGGTAATTGCACTACTAGGTATTTAACCAAAGAATACAAGAACACTAATTCAAAGGGATACATGTACCCCAATGCTTATAGCAGCATTATTTACAATAGCAGGATATGGAAGCAGCCCAAGTGATTCATTGATCAACAGACGAGTGGATAAAGATGTGGTATATACATACAATGGAATATTATTCAGCCATAAAAAAAGAATGAAATCTTACCATTTGCAACAACATGGATGGAGCTAGAGAATATAATGCTAAGTGAAATAAATCAGAGAAAGACAAATGCCATATGATTTCCCTCATGTGTGGAATTTAATAAACAAAATAAACAAGCAAAAGGAAAAAATAAGAGAGAGAGAGAGAGAGAGAGAGAAATCAAGAAACAGACTCTTAATTATGGAGAATAAACTGATGGTTACCAGAGCAGAAGTGGATGGGGAGGATGGGTTAAATAGGAAGAAAGAAAAATAAATTATTTTAGTTATTTTGGTGCTAACCTAATATTCCATCAAATTAATATACTCTAATATACAGCCATTATCTTTTGGTCTAATGTTGTACCCTATTGACGACACTATTTTTTTGTATCTACATTTTGGTTTGCTATTTTATTTTATTTTTTAAGTTTTATTTTGGGGGGGAGAGGGGGGCGGGGCAGAGGGTGAGAGAGAGAATCTTAAGTAGGCTCCACACCGAGCTCAGAGCCCAACACAGGGCTGGATCTCACAATTGTGAGATCATGACATGAACCAAAATCAAGAGTTCAACACTCAACTGACCGAGCCACCCAGGCGCCCCTAGTTTGCATTTTTAAATTATTGTTTTAAGGATAATGCTCTAGAAATGAGATTAAAGATATAAACTTTTAATAATGGATGGCATATACTGTAAGATTGCTTCCAGAAAGGTTCCAGCTGTTTACACTAAGTCCAGTTAACTGTGTGCTTTTTGCATGTTGCCAGAACTGAATAGTAGTATTTAATGCTTTTTTTTCTTTGCTAATTTGACAGTTGAAAAATATATCACTGTTGTTTTCATTTGCATTTCTTTGATTGCCTCTGGGGTTGAAACAAGGTGCTCCTTTCTAAAAATTCCTGTCTTTTGTGTGAGTGCTTTTGTTCTGTTCCTAGGATTTGTTTTTCCTCCAGAACTGTTCCCCTTCCCAACTTCCTGATCTCTGACAAGGGCAGTTTCACTCTCCTGACCTCCCCAATTTCTGAACCAGAGAGTCAGAGGTTATTTTTCTCTTCTTCAATCTCTGGTTTCCCATCAGTCACCCATGATGGTGATTCCTTCCTTTGAAAGTGTTTTTCTGTTTCATCTTGTTAAAGTGAGAACCACAGGCCCAAAATGGTGTCACTTAGGTTAAGACCCCTGGTCAGTAAACCAAGACTTAATACCTAACCTAACTGCCGTTTCAACCCCCTAGAAATGTAACCTTTAACCAGTCAACATGGGAATTTCCTTGTCAACACCAGGATATTTACTGAGGCACCCCTTCTGCTTTCCTTAGGAAAGGTGATCTTGCCTAAAACAATGGATTCTTCCCTAATAATTTCCTTTTTTTCCACTTCCTTTCTACCTTTAATATATGTGCTGCCGAAGCGAGCACTCCTTTCTACCTTTAAAAACCTTTCTTTTTCTGTAGCCCTTGGGAGCTCCCTTCCACTTGCTAGATGGGATGCTGCCCCCTGCATGGCTGGATTATGAAGCCAGTAAGATCCCTACAATTCACTCGGTTGAATTTTTGTTATTTAACAATCTTTGTTCCCATGAGAATGGCACCATCATTAGCCAAGGCCACAGAACTCCCACCTGGATTACAGTGGAAGCTTCCTGGCAATTCTCTCTGCTCCCAGTCCCTCCTACTTTGGTTTTCTTCCACCCACTTCAGTAGTGACTTCCAAAGCAATGCCTTTTATCTGTCGCTCCCTAGTCCACTGGACCAGGCCCAGGACGCTCTGCCAGACATCCACCACCTCGGCACCACTTCCCACAGCTTCCCCCTGGAAACCTGGACACCCGGGGGTTTTCCTCACTGCTTTGAGGTGGTTGCCTCTACCACTTTCCTGGAGCATTTCCACTTCCTGGATATGCTCATTCCTCATCTTCGTTCTGGCCCGCTGCCTATTCTTTTAAGATTTGGTGCAACACAGGTCTTCTCCACGACGTATTCCAGACTCACCCGTACTCTTAGACCTTCCACACCACCTTGTGATCTCCTTTTCAAAGCACGTGACGTCCTGTGGCACCTGAGTGGCTCAGTCAGTTGAGCCTCATGAGCGTCAGACTCTTGATTTCAGCTCAGGTCATGATCTCATGGTCATGAGATTGAGCCCCACATCAGGCTCCATGCTGAGTGTGGAGCCTGCTTAAGATTCTCTCTCTCCTCTGCCTCCTTCCCTACTTGCCCATGCTCTGTGTCTCTCTCAAATTAAAAACGACAAACAAAAAAACAAAGTATGTGACATCCTGCACAAGTAACAGGGCCATGACAGGGCCCAGAAGAGGAAAAGGAGAGCAAGGAGGAAGCGTTATTTTAGGGAAAGGGTGACACACTTCATTTTCAACCAAGTGAGTTTGGGTGATGGCAAGATTTTCAAATAACGTTATCCCTTGGGTCACTGGAAATGTGGGTCCAGAACTGAGGAGAGAGGTTGGGGCTGGGAATATCAATTTGGGAGTCAGCCGCAGCACTGACAGGGGGTGCCCTGGAATTTAGAACATCTGTAGGAATGGGGGAGAGGATCTGGGGTAACCCCTAAATGCAGATGTCAGAAGAGGAGCCCAAGAGGAAGAAAAGGAAATGGTGCTTACATAGGAGGAGGGAACAAAAAAGGTGGAAAAGGGGGCAGAACCAGAGGGGAGCACTCCTCCAAGAAGCTTGGTAAACTGTGAATGGAATGGAGCAGGATTTCACAGCATCTGGAGAACTAAGCCAAGTGCAGATCCAGGGAAAGAGCCAGAGGTAAGGAACTCCCAAAGCATCAAGGGCAAGGGGGTTGGGGGAGTGCTGAGGGAGAGCCCAGGGTTACAGCTCAACCGGAAAGGTCTCCCAAAGAGGAGAAGACTGAGCAGTGGGGAAGGGGCCAAGAGGCCAGTCTGACACCCAGTCTCGCACACCAGGTAGAAACAGGGAGAGGGCCCGTGACTGCTCAGGGAGACAGAAGTAGAGCCCAAGGCATTGAGGGTAGGGTTTTGTTTTTTTTTTTTTCAGCCACCTTTGCCCCATCCCTCTAAACACGTATTCTAAGTAAAAACTGCATTTTCTATGTAAGATTAGCCTTTACAGCCGTCCATTACAGGAATTCTGGAGCACACCCAGAAAGTGATTAGTTCTCTTTAGAAGAACTTCCTCATGGCGGTGGTTGTTGGATACTGAAAGAAGAGACCGGAGGAGGCCACTTGTCCCTGTCTGGGGAACTTTCCAGAGACAGTACTGTATAGTATACCCAACAGGCCCAGATTTTAATCCTGTCTCTGCTACTTGTTGAAGTTAAATTTAAAAGGTAGAAAACAGTGGGGTGCCTGGGTGGCTCAGTTGGTTGAGCATCCAACTCTTGATCTTGGCTCAGGTCATGATCTCATGCTCATGAGATCGAGCCTCGAGTCGGGGCTCTGCCCTGACAGCATGGAGCCTGCTTGGGATTCTCTCTCTCTTCCCCCTTCCCTGGCTCTCTCTCTCTCTCAAAATAAATAATTAAACTTAAAAAAAAAAAAACAAAGGTAGAAAAGTGTAAAGCCCTCCTCCCACACCTGTCTCACAGATATTCACTTCTTCTCCCCAGGGGCAACCAAGGTTACCATTTTCTTACATTTATTTCTAGAAATATTTGTTCCTATACAAGGCAGATGATAGAGAAATAGATATCGATAGACAGATTTCTCCCTCCTTTTTAAACAAATGGTAGCCTGTTCAATACCTTGCTCGATTTAGTTAATGACGTGTCTTAACTATTTATTATTCCTTTCTTAACCGTGCAAGAGCTTCCTTCTTGTACAGCATTCCACTGAATGGGTGAATTATTTACTTAACCTATTCTTTCCTGGCGGACAGTTATTTTTGTATGTGCCTTTATAATTCGGGTAATGTTATAAATTACCCTCCGAAGAAATTGTACTGGTTTATGTTCCTGCCAGCAATGTGTAAAGTAAGAGTCTGAGCCTCTGTTCCCTTATCTACAAAACAAGCCAAACAGTACCTACTTGGAATCATTGTGAAGATCACTTGTGATGATGCGTGGAAAGTACTTGGCATGTAGGAGTTGGTGGTCTTGAAATAAGGGTCTCGTTTTATTTTGGATTAGTGAGACATTGTCCTGGCCAATTAAGTGAATGTTGATGGGACCTCCTCTCCAGTCTGGGGTTTTCGGATTAGGGACAGATTCTGCAGAAAGTTAGCGACTGAGATCAGAAAGGCTGTGGGCATTGCCCTCTCCGGCGATGTCGTGTCTTCAGGGTACCCCAACCTCCTCTACGTGGCTTCTGCTCCCAGGCTCCTCCAAGCTGAAAACTCGCTTTGAATGCAAAAAAATCCTGTGGGACCAAGGATCCTTTCCTCTGGTCATCAAGAGCCTTCAAATCGCAGACTCAGGGATTTACACCTGTGAAGTGGAGGACAAGAAAAGAGAGGTGGAACTGCTGGTGTTCGGCTGTGAGTACACGGGGATACCACCCAGCCAGGCTGCCTCCCTCCCTGACTCCCATTAGTGCCCCCAAACCAGGCCCTGAGCTAGTGGTACCTCAACAGTCTAGAGACGGGTCAGACTGGCCACCACATCTCCTCAAATCCTCCTCAGGCCTTGGGTCAGGCAATGGGAGAGGAAGAAACCTAGAGG